CCCCCTTATCACCCCAGCCACCATCGCTGTTATACCGCAGTTTAGCCGTTGAGGTGCTGCAGAAGTTCCATGCTCCCATCGACACTACATGACATATCTTTCTATTTAGACACCTCAGCATTTAGGAGACAGGCTGTATCGACCGCGACCATCACTTTCACCTTGTCCTCTTGGTCGCCTCATCCGCCATCATCAGTACAACATAATGTTTGTGTATTTTTTTTTGTTAATATAACCTCTAGTTGCGTTGTAAAATATCATTGTTGAAATTTACGCCCCCATCGACACTATTTAGATCAATTAGGAAGCGGGTTACTTTGATCCTGTCTGTCAGGACCAAGCCTCGCTGAGAGGTATACAACATCACAGTCAGTAGAAAGTCCGAGATACTCAATACTCCCAACGCGCTAATCTAAGCGCCTGTCCACTACACCACAGACAGCAGAATGGTGTTACGTGGTGTTGGGGGTCTGCATCAAAGGAAGCTTGGTGATTGCTCTGGTGTGGTTTAGCTCTTTCTTAGCTATCATTTGATAAGGACGGCATCTACCGTCCATATCTCTTCTCCACCTTCTTTTCTTTGTATGTTACTCTCTAGTAACACCTCTAATCTTCGTCACATATATGAACTATTCCTGTTGCAAGTGCTGTAAAACTCCTACAAAAACAAAAACCTCTCCCTCAAACGACGACTATCGTCCTTGTCTCACTTCTTTCTTTTCTTTGCATGTTACTCTTTAGTAACACTTCTAATCTTCGGCATGTATGACCTATTGATGTTTCAAAAAAGTAAGACTCTTATTGAAATTTAACTTCGAACAAAAAATCAGAGGAGGTGGCATGTAGTCGTGTTGTTTTCTCATCTTCAGACTCCCGTCAAAGCCGTCTCTGACCGCTACTAAGACAGGCTGGTCATATCGGGACGCCAATCTTTGGCACTTATAATTTATAAAATTATGACCCATTTGCGTTGAAAGTACCGGAATGGCCTCACTCAAAGATTGAGAAAATAAAAAGAAGAAAAACAAAAGTGATCCTTTCCACCTTTCCCCTTCCGTTAATTCACTCAGTTTAGTGGGGTTTGTTGGTTTTCCCCAGGTTTGACGAGCGGTTCCCGCCGTTTGCACCCCGTCCCCCGCCCCACTGTTTGAAGTGTTAGTCATTGTTGCTCAATCGTGGGAAAACTGCGGTCATCGATGTGCCTTTAGTAACCTAAATCGGGTCATGTTTTCCTTTTCCGGACCCTCGCCCTCAGCCATTGGTTTGCGGGTGCTCTTGTGCGGTTTGCTCTTTCTTTCCTATCAATATCAAACAAACATCCATCTTCCATGTCTCTCTTTTCTTTTTCTCTCTTGTGACACATTCAGCACTTACAATGTTTTTTAGTTTTAGTAGAAGTTTTACGGCGCTCACAACTGTATAAGGTCATATGAGCGCTGGAAGATTAGAGGTGTTACAAGAGAGTAACAAACAAAAAAGAAAGGGAGATACGGACGATATATGTTTCATAGGAAAGAAGAAGCAAACCGCACCAGAGCACCCGCCAACCAACCACTTACAATATGATTATAATTGTTTTGTAAGGACCGTAAAACTTTTACTAAAACAATTCAATCTTCGGCACTTATATGACCTAATTGTGTTGCGAGTGCCTAAAAACTTGTTAACACACAAACTCTAGCAACTCCTCTTATCTGCGGCATTTATAATGTACGGTATTTTTTTTAGTCATGGACCCGTCTCAAGCTTAGATATTCTAAAGCACTTTTCTTGTGTCACTTTTATCTGCTTCACACAAATTTGGACTTAATATCCGTTGCAAATTATTAGTTTATGAGATTTGTGGAAATTTTGTTCCAACTATATTACTATAGGACCAATTATGGCTCAGTAATATTTGACTTGTTTTAACAGCATGGGGGGTTTCAGGGGGGGGGGGGCATGCCCCCCTGGCCTAAAAAGAATCTCGGGAGGGGTATTCCCCCTGCATTTCACCATGATTTTATGTTTTGGCAATTATGATTGATAATTACTTGCAAACAATTTTGATTGACAGGGGTTTTAGTGGCAATGTGTGTGATCTGCAGCAAAAAATATGGCAGTTTAGCCCTCAGGACAGCGCATCTGCGTGCGGGTTTAAAAGTGAAAATTTACCTAATGACCTATTTGTGTTACGAATGCCGACGTAAAAAAACCCAACAAACCCAACAACAATTAAAATAGAAATCGGGGCGAACCTCGCCGAGTTTGTTGATTTTCTCCCAGGTTTGACGAACGGTGACCGCCGTTCCCCCCCTCCCCTGTTTGAAGTGTTTGTTATTGTTGCACTATCTCGGAGGGACTGCGGGCCGCTGATGTGTCTTTAGTTACCCAAATCTGGTCGTGTTTTGGCGCCCCGCGGGCTGCTCGCTGGTCAGTCTCTACTTCCGCGCGCGCGCGCGCTTTTGTGTACGCTGAGGGGGCCGCTTGGTGCGAGCAGTCAGTCGTCACAAGTCCCGCGCGGTTACCCACACAGTGTCGTGTCCGTTTTGTCTTGTTGTTGAATGTTTGGTGAACCAGACTCTCTGTTTGTATTTCTCTGTGTGTGTGTGTCTGAGGGTGTGAATGTCTGTTTTGTTT